ATTGATCAATCTACTCTTATACTATCAACTACGCTTGCGGGTGGCGCAGCAGAGTTCATGAACCAGTCAAGAATTCTGGGATATCATCCGGGTACTCGTGGGAGAAAAACAATAACAAAGGCAACGACCAGTCCATGGAAATTGCTCTGGATCAGTGCCCCTTAAAACATTCTTAAATTTTGTCAGCGCTTACATTTGTTGTACTGTTTAGTAAGAACATCCATACCTTCATGATCCCCTATTTTTTTTAACATTGGATTAACAAGATCTGGATAGTTGATCATTTGCAAGGGATATACTTCCAACTGTGGTGACGGTGTTATGTTACAGGCTCACTCCATCAACCACATCTGTAAGCTATACTTCCAACTGTGGTGATGATGTTGTGTTACAGGCTCACACCATCTACCACATCTGTAATAGATATACTTCCAACTGTGGTGATAAGGTTGTGTTACAGGCTCACACCATCTACCACATCTGTAAGATATACTTCCAACTGTGGTGACGGTGTTATGTTACAGGCTCACTCCATCAACCACATCTGTAAGCTATACTTCCAACTGTGGTGATGATGTTGTGTTACAGGCTCACACCATCTACCACATCTGTAATAGATATACTTCCAACTGTGGTGATAAGGTTGTGTTACAGGCTCACACCATCAATCACATCTGTAAGATATACTTCCAACTGTGGTGACTGTGTTATGTTACAGGCTCACTCCATCAACCACATCTGTAAGCTATACTTCCAACTGTGGTGATGATGTTGTGTTACAGGCTCACACCATCTACCACATCTGTAATAGATATACTTCCAACTGTGGTGATAAGGTTGTGTTACAGGCTCACACCATCTACTTCATCTGTAATAGATATACTTCCAACTGTGGTGATAAGGTTGTGTTACAGGCTCACACCATCAACCACATCTGTAAGATATACTTCCAACTGTGGTGATGATGTTGTGTTACAGGCTCACTCCATCAACCACATCTGTAAGATATACTTCCAACTGTGGTGATGATGTTGTGTTACAGGCTCACTCCATCAACCACATCTGTAAGATATACTTCCAACTGTGGTGATGATGTTGTGTTACAGGCTCACACCATCAATCACATCTGTAAGATATACTTCCAACTGTGGTGATGATGTTGTGTTACAGGCTCACACCATCAACCACATCTGTAAGATATACTTCCAACTGTGGTGACGGTGTTATGTTACAGGCTCACTCCATCAACCACATATGTAAGATATACTTCCAACTGTGGTGATAAGGTTGTGTTACAGGCTCACACCATCAACCACATCTGTAAGATATACTTCCAACTGTGGTGATAAGGTTGTGTTACAGGCTCACACCATCTACCACATCTGTAAGATATACTTCCAACTGTGGTGACTGTGTTATGTTACAGGCTCACTCCATCAACCACATCTGTAAGCTATACTTCCAACTGTGGTGATGGTGTTATTTTACAGGCTCACACCATCAACCACATCTGTAAGATATACTTCCAACTGTGGTGACGGTGTTATGTTACAGGCTCACTCCATCAACCACATCTGTAAGCTATACTTCCAACTGTGGTGATGATGTTGTGTTACAGGCTCACACCATCTACCACATCTGTAATAGATATACTTCCAACTGTGGTGATAAGGTTGTGTTACAGGCTCACACCATCTACCACATCTGTAAGATATACTTCCAACTGTGGTGACGGTGTTATGTTACAGGCTCACTCCATCAACCACATATGTAAGATATACTTCCAACTGTGGTGATAAGGTTGTGTTACAGGCTCACACCATCAACCACATCTGTAAGATATACTTCCAACTGTGGTGATACGGTTGTGTTACAGGCTCACACCATCTACCACATCTGTAAGATATACTTCCAACTGTGGTGACTGTGTTATGTTACAGGCTCACTCCATCAACCACATCTGTAAGCTATACTTCCAACTGTGGTGATGGTGTTATTTTACAGGCTCACACCATCAACCACATCTGTAAGATATACTTCCAACTGTGGTGATGGTGTTATGTTACAGGCTCACTCCATCAACCACATCTGTAAGCTATACTTCCAACTGTGGTGATGATGTTGTGTTACAGGCTCACACCATCTACCACATCTGTAATAGATATACTTCCAACTGTGGTGATAAGGTTGTGTTACAGGCTCACACCATCTACCACATCTGTAAGATATACTTCCAACTGTGGTGACTGTGTTATGTTACAGGCTCACTCCATCAACCACATCTGTAAGCTATACTTCCAACTGTGGTGATGATGTTGTGTTACAGGCTCACTCCATCTACCACATCTGTAATAGATATACTTCCAACTGTGGTGATAAGGTTGTGTTACAGGCTCACACCATCTACCACATCTGTAATAGATATACTTCCAACTGTGGTGATAAGGTTGTGTTACAGGCTCACACCATCAACCACATCTGTAAGATATACTTCCAACTGTGGTGATGATGTTGTGTTACAGGCTCACTCCATCAACCACATCTGTAAGATATACTTCCAACTGTGGTGATGATGTTGTGTTACAGGCTCCTCCATCAACCACATCTGTAAGATATACTTCCAACTGTGGTGATGATGTTGTGTTACAGGCTCACACCATCAACCACATCTGTAAGATATACTTCCAACTGTGGTGACGGTGTTATGTTACAGGCTCACACCATCAACCACATCTGTAAGATATACTTCCAACTGTGGTGATAAGGTTGTGTTACAGGCTCACACCATCTACCACATCTGTAAGATATACTTCCAACTGTGGTGATAAGGTTGTGTTACAGGCTCACACCATCTACCACATCTGTAAGATATACTTCCAACTGTGGTGACTGTGTTATGTTACAGGCTCACTCCATCAACCACATCTGTAAGCTATACTTCCAACTGTGGTGATAAGGTTGTGTTACAGGCTCACACCATCAACCACATCTGTAAGATATACTTCCAACTGTGGTGATAAGGTTGTGTTACAGGCTCACACCATCTACCACATCTGTAAGATATACTTCCAACTGTGGTGACTGTGTTATGTTACAGGCTCACTCCATCAACCACATCTGTAAGCTATACTTCCAACTGTGGTGATGGTGTTATTTTACAGGCTCACACCATCAACCACATCTGTAAGATATACTTCCAACTGTGGTGACGGTGTTATGTTACAGGCTCACTCCATCAACCACATCTGTAAGCTATACTTCCAACTGTGGTGATGATGTTGTGTTACAGGCTCACACCATCTACCACATCTGTAATAGATATACTTCCAACTGTGGTGATAAGGTTGTGTGACAGGCTCACACCATCTACCACATCTGTAAGATATACTTCCAACTGTGGTGACGGTGTTATGTTACAGGCTCACACCATCTACCACATCTGTAATAGATATACTTCCAACTGTGGTGATGATGTTGTGTTACAGGCTCACACCATCAACCACATCTGTAAGATATACTTCCAACTGTGGTGACGGTGTTATGTTACAGGCTCACTCCATCAACCACATATGTAAGATATACTTCCAACTGTGGTGATAAGGTTGTGTTACAGGCTCACACCATCAACCACATCTGTAAGATATACTTCCAACTGTGGTGATGATGTTGTGTTACAGGCTCACACCATCTACCACATCTGTAAGATATACTTCCAACTGTGGTGACAGTGTTATGTTACAGGCTCACACCATCTACCACATCTGTAATAGATATACTTCCAACTGTGGTGATAAGGTTGTGTTACAGGCTCACACCATCTACCACATCTGTAAGATATACTTCCAACTGTGGTGACGGTGTTATGTTACAGGCTCACACCATCAACCACATCTGTAAGATATACTTCCAACTGTGGTGATAAGGTTGTGTTACAGGCTCACACCATTTACCACATCTGTAATAGATATACTCCCAACTGTGGTGATAAGGTTGTGTTACAGGCTCACACCATCTACCACATCTGTAAGATATACTTCCAACTGTGGTGACGGTGTTATGTTACAGGCTCACTCCATCAACCACATCTGTAATAGATATACTTCCAACTGTGGTGATAAAGTTGTGTTATAGGCTCACACCATCAACCACATCTGTAAGATATACTTCCAACTGTGGTGATAAGGTTGTGTTACAGGCTCACTCCATCAACCACATCTGTAAGATAGACTTCCAACTATGGTGACGGTGTTATGTTACAGGCTCACTCCATCAACCACATCTGTAAGCTATACTTCCAACTGTGGTGATGATGTTGTGTTACAGGCTCACACCATCTACCACATCTGTAATGGATATACTTCCAACTGTGGTGATAAGGTTGTGTTACAGGCTCACACCATCTACCACATCTGTAAGATATACTTCCAACTGTGGTGACGGTGTTATGTTACAGGCCCACTCCATCAACCACATCTGTAAGATATACTTCCAACTGTGGTGATGATGTTGTGTTACAGGCTCACTCCATCAACCACATCTGTAAGATATACTTCCAACTGTGGTGATGATGTTGTGTTACAGGCTCACACCATCAATCACATCTGTAAGATATACTTCCAACTGTGGTGACGGTGTTATGTTACAGGCTCACACCATCAACCACATCTGTAATAGATATACTTCCAACTGTGGTGATGAGGTTGTGTTACAGGCTCACACCATCAACCACATCTATGACATATACTTCCAACTGTGGTGATGATGTTGTGTTACAGGCTCACACCATCTACCACAGGTTTATCTGAGGCAGACTGCTTGCGTTTAGCTGTGACATTGCTGTGCTAAGCGGGATCTCTCTGTCATCTCCAATAATGGACTGCTCTCTAGGCCCATGTTCCTGTTTTCCAGTATTTGTATCCTGCTGTTGTTTTTTTCCCTGTAGCAGGCATTGTAGTTTAAAGTAACATAGAGCTTTAATTATGTTCTTTTATCTCCCTAAGCAAAAAACATAGAGATGGATGCAGGTAAGACTTTGTGTAGTTTCTTGTGGAGTCCATCTAATGCATCCTCTGAACAAATAGTACTGATTAGAGTTTTATTTTGATGCTCACATTTGAATCATATAAAGCTGTCTAACTCTCGTAGTCTTATTCACAACTTGTCAGTGGTTCTCGAAACAAACAACACTAAGTAGAGGTTTGATCTTGCTGTTCATGTACACATCTTGAACAGTTTGATGAAACTTCACAATGGCTAGATGGATGTTCTGTAATTCAGTTTTGAACAACCTCCCCTCGGCTAGATGAATTTTCTGTAATGGAGTTTTGAACAACCTCCCCTCGGCTAGATGGATGTTCTGTAATTCAGTTTTGAACAACCTCCCCTTGGCTAGATGGATGTTCTGTAATGGAGTTTTGAACAACCTCCCCTCAGCTAGATGGATGTTCTGTAATTCAGTTTTGAACAACCTCCCCTCGGCTAGATGGATGTTCTGTAATTCAGTTTTGAACAACCTCCCCTCGGCTAAATGGATGTTCTGTAATTCAGTTTTGAACAACCTCCCCTCGGCTAGATGGATGTTCTGTTATTCAGTTTTGAACAACCCTACCTCGGCTAGATGGATGTTCTGTAATTCAGTTTTGAACAACCTCCCCTCGGCTAGATGGATGTTCTGTAATTCAGTTTTGAACAACCTCACCTTGGCTAGATGGATGTTCTGTAATTCAGTTTTGAACAACCCTACCTCGGCTAGATGGATGTTCTGTAATTCAGTTTTGAACAACCTCACCTTGGCTAGATGGATGTTCTGTAATTCAGTTTTGAACAACCTCCCCTTGGCTAGATGGATGTTCTGTAATTCAGTTTTGAACAACCTCCCCTCGGCTAGATGGATGTTCTGTAATTCAGTTTTGAACAACCTCACCTTGGCTAGATGGATGTTCTGTAATTCAGTTTTGAACAACCTCACCTTGGCTAGATGGATGTTCTGTAATTCACTTTTGAACACCCTCCCCTCGGCTAGATGGATGTTCTGTAATTCAGTTTTGAACACCCTCCCCTCGGCTAGATGGATGTTCTGTAATTCAGTTTTGAACAACCTCCCCTCGGCTAGATGGATGTTCTGTAATTCAGTTTTGAACAACCTCACCGTGGCTAGATGGATGTTCTGTAATTCAGTTTTGAACAACCCTACCTTGGCTAGATGGACGTTCTGTAATGCAGTTTTGAACAACCTCACCTCGGCTAGATGGATGTTCTGTAATTCAGTTTTGAACACCCTCCCCTCGGCTAGATGGATGTTCTGTAATTCAGTTTTGAACAACCTCCCCTCGGCTAGATGAATGTTCTGTAATTCAGTTTTGAACAACCTCCCCTCGGCTAGATTAACGTTCTGTAATTCAGTTTTGAACACCCTCCCCTCGGCTAGATGGATGTTCTGTAATTCAGTTTTGAACAACCTCCCCTCGGCTCGATGGATGTTCTGTAATTCAGTTTTGAACAACCTCCCCTCGGCTAGATGGATGTTCTGTAATTCAGTTTTGAACAACCTCCCCTCGGCTAGATGGATGTTCTGTAATTCAGTTTTGAACAACCTCCCCTCGGCTAGATGGATGTTCTGTTATTCAGTTTTGAACAACCTCACCTTGGCTAGATGGATGTTCTGTAATTCAGTTTTGAACAACCCTACCTTGGCTAGATGGACGTTCTGTAATTCAGTTTTGAACAACCTCACCTCGGCTAGAGGGATGTTCTGTAATGCAGTTTTGAACCTCTTGGCTAGATGGATGTTCTGTAATTCACTTTTGAACACCCTCACCTCGGCTAGATGGACGTTCTGTAATTCATATTTGAACAACCTCACCTCGGCTAGATGGATGTTCTGTAATTCAGTTTTGGACAACCTCCCCTCGGCTAGATGAATGTTCTGTAATTCAGTTTTGGACAACCTCACTTTGGATTATTCTTTGAAATACCAAGCATGTGTTGTTTGAATGTTGTCCTGTTGGCATCATCACATGACTATGTATACACTGTTCCTCTGTCACTCTTGTACAGAGATGGCACCATCACATGACTATGTATTCACTGTTCCCCTGTCACTCTTGTACAGAGATGGCATCATCACATGACTATGTTTACACTGTTCCTCTGTCACTCTTGTACAGAGATGGCACCATCACATGACTATGTATTCACTGTTCCCCTGTCACTCTTGTTCAGAGATGGCACCATCACATGACTATGTATACACTGTTCCCCTGTCACTCTTGTACAGAGATGGCATCATCACATGACTATGTATACACTGTTCCCCTGTCACTCTTGTACAGAGATGGCACCATCACATGACTATGTATACACTGTTCCCCTGTCACTCTTGTACAGAGATGGCATCATCACATGACTATGTATACACTGTTCCCCTGTCACTCTTGTAAAGAGTTGGCATCATCACATGACTATGTATTCACTGTTCCCCTGTCACTCTTGTACAGAGATGGCACCATCACATGACTATGTATTCACTGTTCCCCTGTCACTCTTGTACAGAGATGGCACCATCACATGACTATGTATACACTGTTCCTCTGTCACTCCGCCATGATGTTGCTGGAATATTGCTTAAAGCGGCGTAAAACCAAACTCAGTCAGTCAGTCCTCTGTCACTCTTGTACAGAGATGGCACCATCACATGACTATGTATACACTGTTCCTCTGTCACTCTTGTACAGAGTTGGCATCATCACATGACTATGTATACACTGTTCCTCTGTCACTCTTGTACAGAGATGGCACCATCACATGACTATGTATACACTGTTCCCCTGTCACTCTTGTAGAGAGTTGGCATCATCACATGACTATGTATTCACTGTTACCCTGTCACTCTTGTACAGAGTTGTAAAGTACAACCAGAATTTTTTGAGAATATAAACATTGTAATTTAAAAAAATAAATTCACTCATTACTCGCGTATTAACTCAACATAGCTCCAGATTCAAAGACAGGTGAACAGTTAGTATTTTGTCAATTCACAATGGGCAGCAATGCAGGCTTCAATGCGGCGGAGCATACTACTGATCAAAGATGTTAGAAAGGCGTTGTCCATGCTGCCCCAATATCGGACCACCTCTTCTTTCATTTCAGCAATATTTGTCAGATTTTTCTTATTGACACTTTCCTTCATAAGTCCCCAAACATTTTCTATTTAGGTCAGGGCTATAGCTTGGCCAATCTAATAATGTCATATTTTGGGTCCGAAACCAGGCCTGTGAATGCTTTGAACGATGTTTTGGGTCGTTGTCCTGATGGAAAATCCAAACATTTCTATAGAACACGTGAGCAGATGGAAGTAAATGTCCCTCGAGAATATCTGTGTACCGCTCACTGTTCATATTCCCTTCAAATACACAGAGGGGCGTTGCCCCTAACACAGATATGCCATCCACACGTTAAATTTCGGACTGTACTTTGGGCGCTGATACAAAGGTTTTTCAGTTTGTTTGGACCAGAATTTCAGTGTATGAGGAAACAGCCACACAGAACTTTCATCTGAGAAAATCACATTGTCCCAGTTAAAATTTCTATGCTGTAAGCACCAGTTCAACCTTCGCTCCTTTTGTTCAGGTTTCATGATGGAATTCCTCGACTTTTCTGCCAACCCATTGCATACAGCTCAGTTCTAATTGTCTCCTTACAGACAGCCACAGTTCCTCTATCAGTCATATCCAGCCTTAAGTTTTCTAAACTCCTTCGTTTATTTTTAGAAACAAGAATACCAAGCTGCCTTCTGTCACCAACAGTCAATTTTCTAGGCCTACCTGTGCCTCCCTGGTGCTCAATGCCATATCCATTTGCAATATTTTTCAAAACATGATAGACCGCCGCCATATAGCTGGAATATTGCTGAGTGCGGCGTTAAACTAAACTCACTCACTCAAAACATGATAAACAGTGGACAAAGGGATGCCTGTTCTACTTGAAATCACTTTAGCTGATCTGATGTCCTTGTTATAATACTCTAAAATCAACTTCCTCTTCTCTAAATCATCCATACTGAGGATCACTGAACATGTCGTCTGCTAGCAAGTAAAGAAAGGGGGATAACTCTTCACAAACTAATGAAAAAGGATTAACGGAGTTGTCTCTCGAATGAAACCAAGCACTTGATAGCTGGTCAAGGTTGTTTATACTAGAAATCCAATTAAACATATTCCTAAAATTCTCAATAATTTCTGGTCATACTATATTTACCATACCCATTGTTAGAAACTAATTGTTGTATTCTAGAGGCACCTTCAACACCTTTGAGCATTATGTCACTGATCCACTAGTCAGGAGGTGACCCACTAGTCAGGAGGTGACCCATGTTAGTGTCTTACAAGTAATGTCAGGTCCCAGCTAGTCAGGAGGTGACCCACTAGTCAGGAGGTGGCCCATGTTAGTGTCTTACAAGTAATGTCAGGTCCCAGCTAGTCAGGAGGCGACCCACTAGTCAGGAGGTGACCCACTAGTCAGGAGGTGACCCACTAGTCAGAAAGTGACCCATGTTAGTGTCTTACAAGTAATGTCAGGTCCCAGCTAGTCAGGAGGCGACCCACTAGTCAGGAGGTGATCCACTAGTCAGGAGGTGGCCCACTAGTCAGGAGGAGACCCATGTTAGTGTCTTACAAGCAATGTTTGGTCCCAGCTAGTCAGGACTAGACCCACTAGTCAGGAGGTGGCCCACTAGTCAGGAGGTGACCCACTAGTCAGGAGGTGGCCCACTAGTCAGGAGGAGACCCATGTTAGTGTCTTACAAGCAATGTCAGGTCCCAGCTAGTCAGGACTAGACCCACTAGTCAGGAGGTGGCCAACTAGTCAGGAGGAGACCCATGTTAGTGTCTTACAAGTAATGTCAGGTCCCAGCCAGTCAGGAGGTGACCCACTAGTCAGGAGGTGGCCCATGTTAGTGTCTTACAAGCAATGTCAGGTCCCAGCTAGTCAGGAGGTGACCCACTAGTCAGGAGGTGGCCCATGTTAGTGTCTTACAAGCAATGTCAGGTCCCAGCTAGTCAGGAGGTGACCCACTAGTCAGGAGGTGGCCCATGTTAGTGTCTTACAAGCAATGTCTGGTCAGGAGGTGACCCACTAGTCAGGAGGTGACCCACTAGTCAGGAGGAGACCCATGTTAGTGTCTTACAAGCAATGTCTGGTCCCAGCTAGTCAGGAGGTGACCCACTAGTCAGGAGGAGACCAATGTTAGTGTCTTACAAGCAATGTCAGGTCCCAGCTAGTCATTTCAGAGCAATGATTTTTTAATCTAATAGAAGTCGATTCATTTATGAAATTGTTTACTGAAAAATTGTATTGTTGTGATGTTCACAGTATTTGACTGTGATTTATTTTTCGTAAGCCTGTCATTATGTCAAATGTGCTGTTTGTGTGTGACAGTCACTTGCTTCTCAGCTTTGATTCACCGCAACCCATGCAACAGGTCCACACACAACCTGCACATGTTTGTAATTGCTGAATGCTGATTCATTCTTGTTATGTCAGTCACTGGATTGTCTGGTCCAGACATTTTAGTTTAAAGACTGCCTTCATATAGCTTTGCTGAGTTCACTTTTGCCTGATTTCTGCATTTTTATTGCAGAGAAGCCAGCAGCTCCCCTGAAAGAAGAGAAAAGAAAAAGAAATCGAAAAAGCACAAACATGATCGGTAGGCAGTATTCCTGGACTTTTGTAATTGTGTTACTTTCCCAGAAACTATCCAACAGTTTCACCATCTGTCTACATAACTGTTGTTAACCCAAATATATGGATCAATGTGGCAACAGTATGACTTGCATCAACATACCCAAAGTAAAAATGTACCGATATGCACTGTGGTAAATGTTGGCCAATATTTTGTTCATATTTCTGTTGAATTTTTTATTTTGTTGTTTGGGGCACTAGCAATTAAATTTCTCCCAGGTCATACAGCATAGTCAACCTTTTTCTTTTATCATTGTTGTAGTTTCTTTGTTGAATATTTTCAACCAATGGCATATATCAACCAATGTTTAATACCTCATATTTCGTTCACAGATCTGAATAACACATCTGTACTTCTTGTCAAAATATGTCTTCCTTAGACCTCTAATGTGTTTGTTTAACAAACTCTCAGCTTTCTGCAGTAGTCGTCCAATGCGTTGGTCAGCTTTGGAGAATACTGATTTATACACAGGGTTGTAGTATTGTGTCCTCCACCATCTGCTGCCCAGCTCATCAACATGGTGATGAACCTCCACACTGGTCCAACATCTCCCCTTTCCTGTGTTGGTTGCAAGGTGACCTCACTCACTAAGCTTAAGTTCCAAGAAGTATTCTCTCCTTTCCTGTGTTGGTTGCAAGGTGACCTCACTCCCTAAGCTTAAGTTTCAAGAAGTATTCTCCCCTTTCCTGTGTTGGTTGCAAGGTGACCTCACTCCCTTAGCCTAAGTTTCAAGAAGTATTCCTCCTTTTCTGTGTTGGTTGCAAGGTGACCTCCTTCCCAAAGCTTAGGTTCCAAGAAGTATTCTCCCCTTTCCTGTGTAGGTTGCAAGGTGACCTCACTCCCTAAGCTTAAGTTCAAAGACATTTCTGTATTGGTTGCAAGGCGACCTCCTTTCAAAGCTAAAGTTCCTTATGCAGGATAAGGCACACCAAAAGCCCCTTTGTCCTACTGCTGAAGGTGGCTTGACCATCAAACCTGTCACATCTTGTCAATAGCTGAAGACAGTTTCTTTGTCTCAATATTACTGAGGTTTTGAGGGAAACTTAGCTGTGGATTTCCCTGGAGCAGTCAGAACACTGCCTGAGATCAGACCCCAAGTAATGCAGCCAGCTGACCTTGCTACCCACCTTATTCTTCCCAATCCCACATGCTGGTGCTGACCTTGCTACCCACCTTATTCTCCCCAATCCCACATGTTGGTGCTGACCTTGCTACCCACCTTATTCTCCCCAATCCCACATGCTGGTGCTGACCTTGCTACCCACCTTATTCTCCCCAATCCCACATGCTGGTGCTGACCTTGCTACCCACCTTATTCTCCCCAATCCCACATGCTGGTGCTGACCTTGCTACCCACCTTATTCTCCCCAATCCCACATGTTGGTGCTGGGGACCAGGCTGTGGAGGATGCCTGCACTATTTTAAATAAGTGCTTGAATTTAATTCCTATTGCCCAATTTCACACTCATTACATCTGATTCCTTCATTTCCTTCATTTCTCTTTTTGTTTTATTTGTTGCAGCACTCTGTAATGAGGAGAAGTTGTATGTGCTTTTGTTGCTTTGTTGCCATGGTTACATGTGGTTGTTTGCGAATTGTTAACTCGATAAACACTCCGTTTGAACAAGTGTTAAAGCTGTTATTTTGGAGACATTTCATGTATAAGCTTCAACCTGCGGCGACTAATTTACCTCATACAAACATACTGACGTTCAGTTTCCAGTTTTAGTCCTTTACATTCGAATGTATGGCTATAATGTATAAGCTGTTTCATATATATATATGAAGTAACTGTAATGTGTGTGTGTGTGTGTGTGTGTGTGTGCGTGTGTGTGTGCGTGCGTGCGTGCGTGTGTGTGATATGGTCTTTCAGTCTAACCTGCTGGTGAGCATCGACTGCAGGGCTTAAATAGTATTTTGTCATTGCCTCACTTTCTGAGCTTCTGACATCTGTGTCTGTGTCTGTGTCTGTGTCTGTGTCTGTGTCTGTGTTAGCAGAAAATTAATCTCGAACTTGACACTGGATATCTCATTTTGGCATTTATGAGTTGAGTTGGGCTTTATGTTACATCGGCATTTTTCCAGTCATATAGTGACGAGATCAAGTCTGCATTCAAAAAGATATTTGTGATTCAATTAGATTGGTAACATATGTTCTCATGGGGGGAGGGGGTACCATTCTTGTATTCTGGTGAGAGATGGACAGGTTTCATCAGGCAGGAATTTCATCTGGTCCATGTCACGGAGTGTATGTTTTAGGAGTTTGCAAGCAACCACTTTGTTTTTCCTACGTGTGTTTGCACTCTCATTTATTACATACATATCTGTGGTTAAGTATTTTCATGTAAATGTATTTCATTTCAAGATCATTTTGAATTGAAGGCAATATGGTATAATCTAATATAACAAATCCTTTTTTGCCAAGTTCATTTTCTGTTGTATTATAATTCAAGAAAAGAAAGTGAAACTATTTACTCTTACTGTCTTGTGTTCTTGATGTTTATATACACATACAAATAAAAGCCTTTGTTTACATGTGTTAATTTGCTTCTTAAATGGTTTGTTCTGTATAATGTATATATCCTTCCTTCAGTTGTTACATACATGCTTCACCTTAGCTCTATCATGAATTTTTGCATGACAATGACTTCTTACTAACATGCATATTATCAACCACAGAAAATCTCTATATAAATATGATATGTACTGCAAGCATTGCATCTAACTGCACAAAACATACTTAATGTTGTGTGATGAAAACACGAGGTAAGCTTACAACAGTGTTGATAATGTTTCTTTGATTAAAGGCAAGGGGATGTCCAAGATGTTCACACATGTATTTCGTCATTTATAAGTTTTTTTTCTCTTTTTCCAATGCCTTTCACTCACTGAAATCATAGCTATCAGGCATGTTGACTAAGGTAATATTTCTGATCATTGTACAACTCAGACTTTTATATGCCAAGGATCACCGGTTCATTGGTCAAGTCTTTGTTAAACTGAAGTTACTATGTTGCATGCATCCAATGATACTACAAATGTTCCTGTATTTTGTCACATGTGAACGCTGTGTGCTCAGTGCTCTGACTCCTTTCAGAGATATAAAGAGATATTTTCCATTCTGGACTTGTTGGTTTGTTTTTAAAAGCAATATTGCTGTGACAGTTTGGCTTCCTAGATACTAGACGGTGATGGGTTTGTACACCAGTCAAGTCAGGGTAATAGTAAACATGGGAATCAACGATATGCTTACCAGGCACCAATGGATGCTCAGCAAAAACTCATTTCATCTTGAATATATTGTTTATATATGTTTCCTGGCAGACTATGGTATTCACTGGCTTCTTATGTTAATGGGTTTTTTGTTTATCATAAATTATTACTCCGATTGTTTGATGATTTTGTCATTATTGAATGTCCATTATCCACTGTCAAAATAACTTCATTTGAAATGCAAGGATTGTGATAAAAAGGTTTTATAAATCATTGTAGGAAATATCAACCTATCATTTAGATGTAATTTTGTCTTCGATTTTGATTTCCTATAATCTGTATTTCATTGAGTCCTTATCAAAATATATGATTCTATATGATGCCTAGCTTGATGACAATCAGAACCTATGTATGATAAAAACATACACAAACCTTCGTAGACATATTGTAACTTAGGATCAGAACATTTGTAGAATAGTAGTTACTGGGTGGATTATCTTTTCCTAGTTCAACTGTTTGCCACAAGGGAAATTTAAACTTGCTGCCATTCTGGGGTTGTTTTTGGGAGGACCAGTCAACGAACTATCTATGCAAACTGACACAGATACTTGTTGAATTGTTACATTGTGTTGTGAGAAGAAAACTAAAATATTTGTGCATGAAAGGCAGTTGAGCTTGGATGAGGTATTTCCTTGGAGAGTTATAGGTAGTGAAAAGGGTGACATACAGGTGACCTAGCTACCATGCCGTCTATACATGTACATCTCAATACGGTGTGCCTCCTTTTTTGAATGCCCCCTCTGCTTTTGATGTAAGAGATAAGGTAAGACAGAAATATATGTGTCTGTTGTTTTCTTCCCTTCACTTCGTTGTGTCTCAAACCCAGTTTGATAAACTCTGACAAACAAACATGCATAATTTGTGGCAGTTTTAGACAATTAATCACTTCCGTCGCTGTCAAGTATAGCGGACAATGTTTAGAATTAATTGCTGGTAAATCTCTTTCTATTCCAGTGTGTTTTATTGGAATTCGGGATTGGGGATGGTGATAGTTATTTTGCTACAATACCCATAGAACAGTGTTGAGCATATTTTCAAATACTTCAATACCTTGCCATATATGAATAGTGCTTTTCTTTAATCATTCTTACCTGATATGGATGTTTTTCCAACAACATTGTTCTATGGACAAATATCTGTGTAGATATATCAGCACTAATTTCTCTGTCCAGATCCATCAGTCTGGCATTGCATGGTTTTCCTGTTGTAAATTATATCTAGTAATGGCTCTGAAATACCCAAAATTGATTCAAAACACATCTGGCAAACATTGACAAATCAGGTTGCCAAAGGAACTGCATCTCCAGCAGATGAGTAGTGTTAAGTGAGCATGTGAAGATTGGTTTGTACATACTGATCTAACAGTTGTGAGGCATGCCTTTATAACCATGGCTTTGTTCAAGATTGATGGTGTATGTCTGCTTAACATAAATACCAAAATCATATGCTTGTCCAGATCAACTATAGAATACATTGCAAAAGAATATTAAACTTCTGTTGGACTTGTCTTTACTAATAGCATGTCATGATAGAGCAATGAGTTGAACTGACTGGACTTTTGTAAGGGGAGGTAATCCTGATTTGTGAGTGTTTTCCCTCCTAGCACTGTTTCTGGTTAATTATGTTGCCCACAGGCCTCCAAGCAGGAATACATTCTCATTTCAATATTTTTCTTTTGCAGCTCTGAATCTAAGAAAAATAAGAAAACCAAAAAGCGGCGAAAAAGGTAGGCCTTTTTGTATCTTAAAACTGAACAGTGTCAATCTTTTGTATCTTACCACTTTGAGCAGTTTCAGTCTTTTGTATCTTACCATTTTGAGCAGTGTCAGTCTATTGTATCTTACCACTCTGAGTAGTGTAAGTCTGTTGTATCTTACCACTTTGAGCAGTGTCAGTCTTTTGTATATTACCACTCTGAGTAGTGTAAGTCTGTTGTATCTTACGGACCCGTGAAGATCCGGGGTAGAATAGGTCTTCAGCAACCCATGTGCTTGCCATAAAAAGGCGACTATCTTGTCGTAAGAGGCGACTAACGGGATCGGGTGGTCAGTTTCGCTGACTTGGTTGTCACATGTCATCGGTTCCCAATTGCGCAGATTGATGCTCATGCTGTTGATCACTGGATTGTCTGGTCCAGACTCGATTATTTACAGACCGCCGCCATATAGCTGGAATATTGCTGAGTGCGGCGTAAAACTAAACTCACTCACTCACTCACTGTTGTATCTTACCACTCTGAGTAGTGTCAGTCTTTTGTATCTTACCACTTTGAGCAGTGTCAGTCTTTTCTGTCTTACCAGTTTGAGTGGTGTCAGTCTTTTGTATCTTACAACTCTGAGTAGTGTAAGTCTGTTGTATCTTACCAGTTTGAGTGGTGTCAGTCTTTTGTATGTTACCACTCTGAGTAGTGTAAGTCTGTTGTATCTTACCAGTTTGAGCAGTGTCAGTCTTTTGTATCTTACAACTCTGAGCAGTGTCAGTCTTATGTATCTTACCACTCTGAGCAGTGTCAGTCTTTTGTATCTTGTCTGTTTGCTACCCGTGAAGGTCCAGGTTAGAATTGAACAACCCATGCTTGTCGTAAGAGGCGACTAACGGGATCAGGTGGTCAGGCTCACTGACTTGGTTGACACATGTCATCGGTTCCCAATTGTGCAGATCGATACTCATGCTGTTGATCACTGGATTGTATGGTCCAGACTCGATTATTTACAGACCTCCGCCATATAGCTGGAATATTGCTGAGTGCGGCGTAAAACTAAACTCACTCACTCACTGTCAGTTGCAGGAGTGCATATGTTTTGTTATCAACTGTCTCAGTGTATATAGAAAGATAATCAGGTGACTGTTAGAGGAGTGCATATGTTTTGTTATCGACTGTCTCAGTGTATATATAGAAAGATAATCAGGTGACTGTTACAGGAGTGCATATGTTTTGTTATCTAATGTCTCAGTGTATATAGAAAGATAATCAGGTGACTGTTACAGGAGTGCATATGTTTTGTTATCGACTGTCTCAGTGTATATATAGAAAGATAATCAGGTGACTGTTACAGGAGTGCATATGTTTTGTTATCAACTGTCTCAGTGTATATAGAAAGATAATCAGGTGACTGTTAGAGGAGTGCATATGTTTTGTTATCGACTGTCTCAGTGTATATATAGAAAGATAATCAGGTGACTGTTACAGGAGTGCATATGTTTTGTGATCAACTGTCTCAGTGTATATAGAAAGATAATCAGGTGACTGTTAGAGGAGTGAGTTTTGCATCAGTGTATATTCAGGTGACTGTTACAGGAGTGCATCGTCTCATGTGTATATATAGAAAGATAATGTCTCAGTGTATATATAGAAAGATAATCAGGTGACTGTTACAGGAGTGCATATGTTTTGTTATCCACTGTCTCAGTGTATATATAGAAAGATAATCAGGTGACTGTTACAGGAGTGCATATGTTTTGTTATCCACTGTCTCAGTGTATATAGAGAGAGATAATCAGGTGACTGTTACAGGAGTGCATATGTTTTGTTATTGTTAGTGTATATATAGAGATATTATCAGGTGACTGTTACAGGAGTGCATATGTTTTGTTATACTGTCTCAGTGTATATATATAGAGATCAGGTGACTGTTACAGGAGTGCATATGTTTTGTTATCCACTGTCTCAGTGTATATATAGAAAGATAATCAGGTGACTGTTACAGGAGTGCATATGTTTTGTTATCCACTGTCTCAGTGTATATAGAAAGATAATCAGGTGACTGTTACAGGAGTGCATATGTTTTGTTATCCACTGTCTCAGTGTATAGAGAGATATCATGAGAGGAGGATAATCAGTGTACATAGGTGACTGTTACAGGAGTGCATATGTTTTGTTATCCACTGTCTCAGTGTATATATAGAAAGATAATCAGGTGACTGTTACAGGAGTGCATATGTTTTGTTATCCACTGTCTCAGTGTATATAGAAAGATAATCAGGTGACTGTTACAGGAGTGCATATGTTTTGTTATCCACTGTCTCAGTGTACATAGAGGGATAATGAGGTGACTGTTAGAGGAGTGCATATGTTTTGTTATCTACTGTCTCAGTGTACATAGAGGGATAATCAGGTGACTGTTACAGGAGTGCATATGTTTTGTTATCCACTGTCTCAGTGTATATATAGAAAGATAATCATGTGACTGTTACAGGAGTGCATATGTTTTGTTATCCACTGTCTCAGTGTATATAGAGGATAATCAGGTGACTGTTACAGGAGTGCATATGTTTTGTTATCCACTGTCTCAGTGTATATAGAAAGATAATCAGGTGACTGTTACAGGAGTGCATATGTTTTGTTATCCACTGTCTCAGTGTATATAGAGAGAGATAATCAGGTGACTGTTACAGGAGTGCATATGTTTTGTTATCCACTGTCTCAGTGTGTATATAGAAAGATAATCAGGTGACTGTTACAGGAGTGCATATGTTTTGTTATCCACTGTCTCAGTGTATATAGAGGGATAATCAGGTGACTGTTACAGGAGTGCATATGTTTTGTTATCCACTGTCTCAGTGTATATAGAAAGATAATCAGGTGACTGTTACAGGAGTGCATATGTTTTGTTATCCACTGTCTCAGTGTATATATAGAGAGATAATCAGGTGACTGTTACAGGAGTGCATATGTTTTGTTATCCACTGTCTCAGTGTATATAGAAAGATAATCAGGTGACTGTTACAGGAGTGCATATGTTTTGTTATCCACTGTCTCAGTGTATATAGAAAGATAATCAGGTGACTGTTACAGGAGTGCATATGTTTTGTTATCCACTGTCTCAGTGTATATAGAAAGATAATCAGGTGACTGTTACAGGAGTGCATATGTTTTGTTATCCACTGTCTCAGTGTATATAGAGAGAGATAATCAGGTGACTGTTAGAGGAGTGCATATGTTTTGTTATCCACTGTCTCGGTGTATATAGAGAGATAAGATAATCAGTTTTGTGACTAATCAGGAGTGCATATGTTTTGTTATCCACTGTCTCAGTGTATATAGAGGGATAATCAGGTGACTGTTAGAGGAGTGCATATGTTTTGTTATCTACTGTCTCAGTGTATATAGAGAGAGATAATCAGGTGACTGTTAGAGGAGTGCATATGTTTTGTTATCCACTGTCTCAGTGTATATATAGAAAGATAATCATGTGACTGTTACAGGAGTGCATATGTTTTGTTATCCACTGTCTCAGTGTATATATAGAGAGATAATCAGGTGACTGTTAGAGGAGTGCATATGTTTTGCTATCCACTGTCTCAGTGTATATAGAAAGGTAATCAGGTGACTGTTACAGGAGTGCAAATGTTTTGTTATCCACTGTCTCAGTGTATATAGAGAGAGATAATCATGTGACTGTTACAGGAGTGCATATGTTTTGTTATCTACTGTCTCAGTGTATATATAGAGAGATAATCAGGTGACTGTTACAGGAGTGCATATGTTTTGTTATCCACTGTCTCAGTGTATATATAGAAAGATAATCATGTGACTGTTACAGGAGTGCATATGTTTTGTTATCCACTGTCTCAGTGTATATAGAGAGATAATCAGGTGACTGTTACAGGAGTGCATATGTTTTGTTATCTACTGTCTCAGTGTATATATAGAGAGATAATCAGGTGACTGTTACAGGAGTGCATATGTTTTGTTATCCACTGTCTCAGTGTATATAGAAAGATAATCAGGTGACTGTTACAGGAGTGCATATGTTTTGTTATCCACTGTCTCAGTGTATATATAGAGAGATAATCAGGTGACTGTTAGAGGAGTGCATATGTTTTGTTATCCACTGTCTCAGTGTATATAGAAAGATAATCAGGTGACTGTTACAGGAGTGCATATGTTTTGTTATCCACTGTCTCAGTGTATATATAGAGAGATAATCATGTGACTGTTACAGGAGTGCATATGTTTTGTTATCTACTGTCTCAGTGTATATATAGAGATATATAGAAAGGAGTGATATGTTTTGTTATCAGGTGACTGTTACAGGAGTGCATATGTTTTGTTATCCACTGTCTCAGTGTATATAGAAAGATAATCAGGTGACTGTTACAGGAGTGCATATGTTTTGTTATCCACTGTCTCAGTGTATATAGAGAGGGATAATCAGGTGACTGTTAGAGGAGTGCATATGTTTTGTTATCTACTGTCTCGGTGTATATATAGAAAGATAATCAGGTGACTGTTACAGGATGGGGGTGCATATGTTTTGTTATCCAGTGTCTCAGTTTATATATAAAGATATTATCAGGTGACTGTTACAGGAGTGCATATGTTTTGTTATCCACTGTCTCAGTGTACATAGAGGGATAATCAGGTGACTGTTGGAGGAGTGCATATGTTTTGTTTTCCACTGTCTCAGTGTATATAGAAAGATAATCAGGTGACTGTTACAGGAGTGCATATGTTTTGTTATCCACTGTCTCAGTGTATATAGAGGGATAATCAGGTGACTGTTAGAGGAGTGCATATGTTTTGTTATCCACTGTCTCAGTGTATATAGAAAGATAATCATGTGACTGTTACAGGAGTGCATATGTTTTGTTATCCACTGTCTCAGTGTATATAGAGAGAGATAATCAGGTGACTGTTACAGGAGTGCATATGTTTTGCTATCCACTGTCTCAGTGTATATAGAGGGAGATAATCATGTGACTGTTACAGGAGTGCATATGTTTTGTTATCTACTGTCTTCAGTGTATATATAGAGATATAATCAGGTGACTGTTACAGGAGTGCATATGTTTTGTTATCCACTGTCTCAGTGTATATATAGAAAGATAATCAGGTGACTGTTACAGGAGTGCATATGTTTTGTTATCCACTGTCTCGGTGTATAGATAGAGAGATAATCAAGAGGCTGTGTCTGTCTCCACATAATTGTATCCACACAGCGTCTATGGAGAGATAATCATGTGACTGTGTCTGTTGCAGGGTTGAAGAAAAGAAGAAGCGGAGGAGAAGGAAAGAGTCATCCAGCTCCAATTCCGGCTCAGATTCTGACTCTGAATCTGACTCAGGAAGGTGGGTGGTTGGATGCTAGGACATTGATGAGGCTGGTTCTGTAAACACATATTTGAATCTAAATGAGAAAGGCCAGAGGTTGATGCTATGACCACAACCATTCATTGGGTACCCAGCCATATCACATTAGTTTAAATAGCAGTGTGTAAGGAGTCCAGGGGAGAATGGGTGTTCAGTCACATGTGCTTTTCACAAGAGGATTGGGTCACACCTTTCATTGATCAGGTCACAATATACAGTGATCAGGTTACACCTTACAGTGATCAGGTAACATCGTACAGTGATCAGGTCACACCTTACACTTTACAGTGATAGGTCACAACTTACAGTGATCAGGTTGCACCTTACAGTGATCACGTCACACCTTACAGTGATCAGGTAACATCTTACAGTTATCAGGTAACATTGTATAGTGATCAGGTAACATCTTACAGTGATCAGGTAACATCTTACAGTTATCAGGTAACATTGTATAGTGATCAGGTAACATCTTACAGTGATCAGGTAACATCTTACAGTTATCAGGTAACATTGTATAGTGATCAGGTAACATCTTACATTTTTTGTATCAGGTGAAGTGATCAGGTAACATCTTACAGTTATCAGGTAACATTGTATAGTGATCAGGTAACATCTTTCATTTTTTCTTTCATTTTTTCTCTCTGGTTTTGCAGAGTTGCATCCCATGGGATACCAGCCACTGATAATTATTACAAATCATCTACTTCTATTATATCATTGCCATAAATCCTACAGTTTGCCTGCAGTTACAGAAAACTAATCTTCAGAATTTTCAACAGACGCCTTCTGCACTACACACCAGCAGTTGTCAAGATAATATTACAGCCAATCAGCATCAATCTCTTCTGATAGCAAACAAATGACAAACCTCCATGTTTTCCAGTGTGTACTACAGTGTTACAACTGTTACACTGAAGTTATGCTTTCATTCAAGTTACTAACATTCAGACTAGTGTGTACTACAGTGTTACAACTATTACACTGAAGTTATGCTGTCATTCAAGTTACTAACATTCAGACTAGTGTGTACTACAGTGTTACAACTATTACACTGAAGTTATGCTGTCATTCAAGTTACTAACATTCAGACTAGTGTGTGTGTACTACAGTGTTACAACTATTACACTGAAGTTATGCTTTCATTCAAGTTACTAACATTCAGACTAGTGTGTACTACAGTGTTACAACTACTATTACACTGAAGTTATGCTGTCATTCAAGTTACTAACATTCAGACTAGTGTGTACTACAGTGTTACAACTATTACACTGAAGTTATGCTGTCATTCAAGTTACTAACATTCAGACTAGTGTGTACTACAGTGTTACAACTATTACACTGAAGTTATGCTGTCATTCAAGTTACTAACATTCAGACTAGTGTGTACTACAGTGTTACAACTATTACACTGAAGTTATGCTGTCATTCAAGTTACTAACATTCAGACTAGTGTGTACTACAGTGTTACAACTGTTACACTGAAGTTATGCTGTCATTCAAGTTACTAACATTCAGACTAGTGTGTACTACAGTGTTACAACTGTTACACTGAAGTTATGCTGCTGTCATTCAAGTTACTAACATTCAGACTAGTGTGTACTACAGTGTTACAACCATTACACTGAAGTTATGCTGTCATTCAAGTTACTAACATTCAGACTAGTGTGTACTACAGTGTTACAACTATTACACTGAAGTGTATGCTGTCATACACTGAAGTTATGCTTTCAACATTCAGACTAGTGTGTACTACAGTGTTACAACTGTTACACTGAAGTTATGCTGTCATTCAAGTTACTAACATTCAGACTAGTGTGTACTACAGTGTTACAACTATTACACTGAAGTTATGCTGTCATTCAAGTTACTAACATTCAGACTAGTGTGTACTACAGTGTTACAACTATTACACTGAAGTTATGCTGTCATTCAAGTTACTAACATTCAGACTAGTGTGTACTACAGTGTTACAACTATTACACTGAAGTTACTAACATTCAAGTTACTAACAGTGTTACACAGTGTTACAACTATTACACTGAAGTTATGCTGTCATTCAAGTTACTAACATTCAGACTAGTGTGTACTACAGTGTTACAACTATTACACTGAAGTTATGCATTCAAGTCATTCAAGTTACTAACATTCAGACTACACTGAAGTGTGTACTACAGTGTTACAACTATTACACTGAAGTTATGCTTTCATTCAAGTTACTAACATTCAGACTAGTGTGTACTACAGTGTTACAAGTGTTACACTGTTACACTGAAGTTATGCTGTCATTCAAGTTACTAACATTCAGACTAGTGTGTACTACAGTGTTACAACTGTTACACTGAAGTTATGCTGTCATTCAAGTTACTAACATTCAGACTAGTGTGTACTACAGTGTTACAACTATTACACTGAAGTTATGCTTTCATTCAAGTTACTAACATTCAGACTAGTGTGTACTACAGTGTTACAACTGTTACACTTAAGTTATGCTGTCATTCAAGTTACTAACATTCAGACTAGTGTGTACTACAGTGTTACAACTATGACACTTAAGTTATGCTTTCATTCAAGTTACTAACATTCAGACTAGTCCATACTTTTTGTCAGTGGTCCTTGGTGAGATTAGGGAAGTTGTACAGTGTTCACACATGAGTTTTAGAACTTGTAAATGTTGTAAGTCAGTGGCAACAGTGGAATCTTATTGACCTAGACCCTATATTTCCTTGAACTTGACCCTGTTTAATGGAAGGTAGTGTGAAGTTGATCAGTAATCATACTATCTTGAAATCTTGACATTCTTGCAGTTCCTCCTCGGCAGCTTCTCCCGACAGGAATGGAAAGACGAGGAAGTCTTCGCATCACTTACCCTCCCCATCCCTTGTGGACAGGGCCTGCCCCCCCGAGCACCGACTGTCACCTGCATCCAGATCAAAGAGAGGCGATTCTGAATCTGAATTGGACAAATCACCTCCCAGGTAGGAACATGTTTCCTCCAAAATTTGTCTACTTGGTGGTGGTAATTCAAAATAGCTTCAACAACAAAATGATATTTAATCATATCCATTTTGAGTGTATGACTTGAAAGATGTACATGCTTCGAAAACACATGTGAAGGTGGTGTGGGGACAATAGATGCCTTTAAGATTAATGTCGAAGTCAGTGGTAACAATATGCACCCACAGCATCAGTGGCATACTTCTGAAACTAGCCACTCACTGGATATCCAGAGAAACAATACTGATCTTCACAGACTGCTGGTCTTGATGGTCTTGTTGGTCTTGCATATATATGGAAAAGCTTCAAGACATTTGTGAACTGAGCTGGATTATTCCAGCTGCTCAAGAAGGTGGCAGGTGTCTCTTGATGCCCAGTCCAAATAGGGTGACTGTTACAGCACTGCCCTGGGATGAATCTGAACAGAAACAAGGTGGTTCAGTTACAGCACTGCCCTGGGATGAATCTAAACAGAAACAAGATGGTTCAGTTACAGCACTGCCCTGGGATGAATCTGAACAGAAACAAGGTGGTTCAGTTACAGCACTGCCCTTGGATGAATCTGAACAGAAACAAGGTGGTTCAGTTACAGCACTGCCCTGGGATGAATCTGAACAGAAACAAGGTGGTTCAGTTACAGCACTGCCCTGGGATGAATCTGAACAGAAACAAGGTGGTTCAGTTACAGCACTGCCCTGGGATGAATCTGAACAGAAACAAGGTGGTTCAGTTACAGCACTGCCATGTGAGAATATGCCTTGAAATAAGGTGGTTCAGTTACAGCACTGCCCTGGGATGAATCTGAACAGAAACAAGGTGGTTCAGTTACAGCACTGCCCTGGGATGAATCTGAACAGAAACAAGGTGGTTCAGTTACAGCACTGCCATGTGAGAATATGCCTTGAAATAAGGTGGTTCAGTTACAGCACTGCCCTGGGATGAATCTGAACAGAAACAAGGTGGTTCAGTTACAGCACTGCCCTGGGATGAATCTGAACAGAAACAAGGTGGTTCAGTTACAGCACTGCCATGTGAGAACATGTGAGAATGCCAAGTGAGAACATGCCTTGAAATAAGGTGGTTCAGTTACAGCACTGCCCTGGGATGAATCTAAACAGAAACAAGGTGGTTCAGTTACAGCACTGCCATATGAGAATATGCCTTGAAATAAGGTGGTTCAGTTACAGCACTGCCCTGGGATGAATCTGAACAGAAACAAGGTGGTTCAGTTACAGCACTGCCCTGGGATGAATCTGAACAGAAACAAGGTGGTTCAGTTACAGCACTGCACTGCCATGTGGAGAAGCATGCCTTGAAATAAGGTGGTTCAGTTACAGCACTGCCCTGGGATGAATCTGAACAGAAACAAGGTGGTTCAGCCATGTGAGAATTACAGCACTGCCCTGGGATGAATCTGAACAGAAACAAGGTGGTTCAGTTACAGCACTGCCCTGGATGAATGAAAAGAATATGCAAGGTGGTTCAGTTACAGCACTGCCCTGGGATGAATCTGAACAGAAACAAGGTGGGTTACAGATGAATCTGAACAGAAACAAGGTGGTTCAGTTACAGCACTGCCCTGGGATGAATCTGAACAGAAACAAGGTGGTTCAGTTACAGCACTGCCCTGGGATGAATCTGAACAGACACAAGGTGGTTCAGTTACAGCACTCCCCTTGGATGAATCTGAACAGACACAAGGTGGTTCAGTTACAGCACTGCCCTGGAATGAATCTGAACAGAAACAAGGTGGTTCAGTTACAGCACTGCTCCCTGGGATGAATCTGAACAGAAACAAGGTGGTTCAGTTACAGCACTGCCATGTGAGAATATGCCTTGAAATAAGGTGGTTCAGTTACAGCACTGCCCTGGGATGAATCTGAACAGAAACAAGGTGGTTCAGTTACAGCACTGCCCTGGGATGAATCTGAACAGAAACAAGGTGGTTCAGTTACAGCACTGCCATGTGAGAATATGCCTTGAAATAAGGTGGTTCAGTTACAGCACTGCCCTGGGATGAATCTGAACAGAAACAAGGTGGTTCAGTTACAGCACTGCCCTGGGATGAATCTGAACAGAAAAAAGGGGTTTCATTTACAGTACTGCCATGTGAGAATATGCCTTGAAATAAGGTGGTTCAGTTACAGCACTGCCCTGGGATGAATCTAAACAGAAACAAGGTGGTTCAGTTACAACAATGCCCTGGGATGAATCTGAACAGAAACAAGGTGGTTCAGTTACAGCACTGCCCTGGGATGAATCTGAACAGAAACAAGGTGGTTCAGTTACAGCACTGCCATGTGAGAATATGCCTTGAAATAAGGATTAACTGTAATGACCTGACCACCACATTCTCATCTTGCAGTTCAAAGTTCCTAACATAATTATAGTCAATGGATCACCGACAGGAATCAAACTTTCATCAACTTATTGTTGTACATTCACAATACACGCAGATTATTTGATACCTCGGCATCATAACACTAATGGCCCCATACCAATCATGGTCAAGAATTGTTGCCCTGGTATATCGCTCAGCACAAAGTAGCCAAAAACGTTTTCAGCCGTCTGTGCATCATATGCAAAATGTGTATTAGTCTGCATGCATGGTATAACATGCCCCTGATGTAGGCAAAACGTGTTGGTCTGCAAGCATGGCATAACACGCCCCTGGTGTAGGCAAAATGTGTGTTGGTCTTCAAGCATGGTATAACACGCCCCTGGTGTAGGCAAAATGTGTGTTGGTCTGCAAGCATGGTATAACATGCCCCTGGTGTAGGCAAAACGTGTGTTGGTCTGCAAGCATGGTATAACATGCCCCTGGTGTAGGCAAAATGTGTGTTGGTCTGCAAGCATGGTATAACACGCCCCTGGTGTAGGCAAAATGTGTGTTGGTCTGCAAGCATGGTATAACATGCCCCTGGTGTAGGCAAAATGTGTGTTGATCTGCAAACATGGTATAACATGCCCCTGGTGTAGGCAAAACATGTGTTGGTCTGCAAGCATGGTATAACACGCCCCTGGTGTAGGCAAAATGTGTGTTGGTCTGCAAGCATGGTATAACACGCCCCTGGTGTAGGCAAAATGTGTGTTGGTCTGCAAGCATGGTATAACATGCCCCTGGTGTAGGCAAAATGTGTGTTGGTCTGCAAGCATGGTATAACATGCCCCTGGTGTAGGCAAAATGTGTGTTGGTCTGCAAACATGGTATAACATGCCCCTGGTGTAGGCAAAACATGTGTTGGTCTGCAAGCATGGTATAACATGCCCCTGATGTTGAGCAGCTCACTCCAGTCTTTGCTGTCTATGGTGAGTGGGCCTCACCCTTCACAGGACATCTTGCTTTCAGACCAGCTGCAGAGAGCTGTTTTTTTAGCAGTAGATGTTGAAAATGTCTTTCCTTTTTTCATACTGTTACACTTGACAACATAAGCAGGTTTTAAATCTATGACATTGTGCAATGAATGTACTGAGACTGTACTATCTAAGTGTTGTAGGCCTGCAGACCTGCAGACCCACCTGTTTATACCATGTTTACACGGCACTTGTGACTGACTTACAACTGAAAACTGCTTACTCTCATCAACTCGAAGTGGGGTAGCGGTGGGGGTCTCGGTGAAGTCCTTATCATTGCCTTAATTGTTGCCATCGATCGCCATTACTTGCTACTGGTCATATCAAGTTGTGCGAGTGTATGGAACGGTTCAAAACACTCACACAAGTTTGTGAACGAATGCGAGCGATCCAACTCGAAATGAGATCGCAAAATCGGTCGTAACCTGATTACACAAGTCTCGATGTAATTTGGTAGTATGTCAGTCGTCATGAACTCGCATTCGCTCACAATGTCATCACATTGTTTTTGTGTTCCTTTCTTTCTTTCTCTCAGTATATTACTTGGGGGTAAGCGAAACCTATAGTTTGGCATGAAATGCATGTGGACCCAGTTTTTTGTAAATATCTCTTCATCCAATGATCCAATCGATCTCAAACTGTGCAAGTGGATGTTTTGTCAGACAACCTAATCACATTGTAAATCACCGATTTTATGCATTTGTATTAAAGAATCTGTCTATGTAACTGACAACAAAATAAACAGCAGAACGCAGACTGCTTGCAGAGGGAGGGAGCCAATGACCTGTAACAGCGGCAGTGTTGGGTCATAAAGGTCAACGTTCGTCAATGTAGGTCAGCTATGCACGTGACAGGTATGAAGAGGTGTCACAGGTCGTTAATAGGGTAAGGTGGGGGCCAACTGTTAACCATCATACGGAGTTTGTTTCTCTGAAAAACCACAAAACCATTAGTGAGAATTATTCTGTAGGTTAAAATCTTCAAATTTGTAATGTTAATGTCATATTTTGTTTATGCAGTACCTAAGTGGAAATGCATTTAAAGAACACAGAAAGTATATGTACACTAAATCATTAATCGGACCACCTATGGTTAGAACTCAACAACTGTTAAAGCCCCGTTCCTTCAGACACAAGCACACACAATCATGCACACTCATTGAAGAAAAGATAGAATGAAGACAAAAGTGTTATGTTTTGATGTCGTTCACATTCCAAATTAAGCAATGCATTTCTAATAGCTTTAAGCATATAGATAGTTAATATTTATATTTTCATGATAATTTTATGTGAAATGAGTGTTTCATGTTACACTATAAGTCGTTGGAATTAGTCAGTGCTGTCATTGTTAAAAGAAGTTATATTTCTTTGAGCATATCTGGCTGGATACTATTATTATCTGTAAATGTAATAACAGAATTAAACTTCATCAAGTACACTCCATTCTTCCACAGAGGAGTCATCAGTGTCCAGACGAATGACAACTGGATTAACTGTTTGCTCCTTCAAGCCATCTTTGAGCCAGTACTCTTTCTCCACCTCCTTGACATGTTCAACACATGCATGACAGCGTGCAATGTCAATGTCACATATAGCAGTGTTGACAATGTGCTTGACATCATTCAGCTTGAATGATTGATTTTTCCGGGCCACTGTACTTTTAAGGTCTCCCCAGATAAGTTTGATTGGGTTGAGATCACAGTGGTACGGTGGTAATCTCAGGACCTTAAGGCCGTGTTGGCGTAGCATGTTGTCAATGTTATATGTTGGTGGAGGTTTGTTAGGTTTAATCAAAGAGTACAACTGTGGTTTAGTGGCCTTAATTGAAAATTGTATATTGTTATGTGTTAGCCATTGCTGCATATCTGACATCTTTGTATTGGAAGTTGGGCACCTATTGTGATAGGGAGCATTGTCCATGACAACAAGACTTTTGTAAGGCAGAGCTGGCAATAATTGTTCCTCAACATACTGTGTGAAAACCGTTGAGTTCATTTCTGTATGATACTCCCTACCATCTGCGCTCTTTGACCGAAATACCAGATCACACCCAGGTAGGAATCCACGGTGGGAACCAGCATGAAGAACGATTAAACGTTCACCTTTGCCTGTTGGTATTTTCCTACCATCACTGGGATCAGTGGGTAGCCACTGTCTGGCAGCAGTATGGTTTGCATTGACCCAGGTCTCATCCAGATATATAGGTTCGAACCCATCCTCTCTTGCCTGCTTAATTTCTCTCAGATAGTTACACCTTATTTTCACAATATCAGATCTCTCACACATTACTGGTTTGCTACCTTCTTGTACTTGTATCCAAATTTGAGCAGTAGTTTGCTTAGCATAAACCTAGAAACATTAATGTCGTGATCCTCTGCAAGGATGTGTTTTAACTTTCTTGTGGACAGGTGTTCATTTCTAGCAAATAGCCGGCGAATGACATCTCTGATGTCAAAAGAATCTAACTTTGGATGCCTACCTTTTTGTACAAGGTTTTGTTTATTGGTTGTTGGTTTATTTTTCACAATTGTTAGCACGATGTTCTTTTTCATGCCAAGGGCAAAAGTTGTATGTTTCATGTAATCCGACACCTTATAAATCGGTTTGCTACGTTTGCTCTCTTTTTAAAAAAAATTCAACACATTTCTAATTAAACGTTTAGCATCATGTGAATAAGCTTTCATGATGACAGGTAGAAGTAGTCAATGTGAATGATCCAAACGGTCTATCACTGTGCAGTGCACAGGTAACTATCATGAACTGCACGTGCATTTACCTTTATGACCCAACACTGCCGCTGTTACAGGTCATTGGCTCCCTCCCTCTGCAAGCAGTCTGCGTTCTGCTGTTTATTTTGTTGACAGTTACATAGACAGATTCTTTAATACAAATGCATAAAATCGGTGATTACAATGTGGATAGGTTGTCTGACAAAACATCCACTTGCGCAGTTTGAGATCGATTGGATCATTGGATGAAGAGATATTTACAAAAATCCGGGTCCACATGCATTTCATGCCAAACTATAACCATGTGTTGTTGAGACGTTGTTTATACGTGGTTGAAGAAACCACTAACAACATGTACACATTGATATACTGAGAGAAACAAGTACGGAAACATAATCCTCCCTTATTTGGGGTCATCTTTACAAGTATGGTATTGTTTCTATACTTTGGATTGGGATAGTAAAAAATAGAGAATACTACACAAGGCCTCATTACATACAAATTATACGAAACGAGTGTCCTTCCTATGGTATCTGACCGAGCGATGTCAGTCACGAGTTTCGTATGTAATGAGACCTCCGTAGCACCTCGTTTCTTGGTTTCCAGTTGATTCATTCGGCTAACATCACTGGTGGAAACATTGCGTTTGTTTTTCGATGGATATAATGTCTCAGTTCGACTCACAATTAAACAGCGACACGGGCAACGTTCTCAATGTTTACATTCCCACAATGCATATTAAGTTGTAGAATGAATGAATTCACGTGTTTGTTATGAATGAAAAAATAGTTATGTCAGAATGTGACCTAATTGAGAGGTCATCGGTTATCCAATCAAATTGTTAGAATCTCAGGTCAAGTCGTTACGACACAGGTCAGCGCGATACGACACTCGTGTGGCGTGCGAGATTAGTATGCAACCACCCATACGTTGACCTCGTGGGTAATAAACAACGATTATCCATCTTTACTTCTTTCTCTTAGTAGAGTACTTGGGGTTAGGAACCCGAACCACGTTACTAAACCCAACCTGACACACACAGAGCGGCATAAGCAAAAGAATAACAAACATATAAAGTCTGACATGTTTATTGATAAAAATGAAAGTAATAATGAATGTTATTACAGTACATAAATGTAACGTGTCTCACACACCACACAAACATAGACATGTACACATATAGATGTCCATAGAGCACACTGCTCGTCTCAAAAGTCATTCACAAATACTGGTCCTGAGATGTGGGTCTGAGGGTCACCATTCTGTCCTGCCGTACTGCTCCCCGTGCTTCATTGTTGAAGTATTCTTGAAGGTAAAGCCCCTGAGACTTCGCAGCTTTATGGTCTTGATTTGGAGGCTCAGATGGAGTGTTTTCTACATCCAGTTGTACCCCGAAGATGAGTCTGTGATTTTCATCCTCATGGTCACATCTGTTCGTGATGTCTGGGTACCTGGACCTCAGGAGGTTGTGAAGTACTATCAGCACTCTGTCATGGTCTGGACAGTTTCGGGGGCTTGATACTACACAATCATCAGACAGGATTAGCCAGGATACCATAAGCATTCTCGACTACACGTCTTCCTCTGGATATTCGGTAGTTGTATATCAATTCCTCCCTGGTCATGTTCCTCTTGGCCCATGGTTTCATTAGATATGTTCTTAGGGCAAAAGCATTATCGGCCAGTATGAAGTATGGCAGGTTCTTTGGTTCAAAGTCTTCGTCAGGCTCAGCTTGCTCAATAGGCTCAGAAGGGGGGATACCAAGTGTGCAAGTGTCCAAGCAATGTTTCAGATCAGATGTATTCATGATTTGGGCGTCTGACTGGTGTCCAAGACCTCCACAAGAAATTTGTAGTTGTGGTCCACAAGCGCCAGGAGAACGATGGAGTAGCAGCTTTTGTAGACACACCAGTAGTCGCTTCCACTCCGTGGAGGTGCCTGGATTTTAATGTGCTTTCCATCTAGGGCACCTGTGGCATGAGGCACTTGCCATCGAAGTTAGAATTGTCTGGCTATTTCCTTCCACTCTCCTGGTGTAGTGAGAGTCTTGAATACCTCGTCTCTGTAGGCCTCCACGATAACCTAGCAAACTTGGGATACCATATACTGTACGGATCACCCTGTAGCTGTAGGCCATGCTTGGATACTGGTCACCAATGGCTAAGTGTCTCTATGTTAGTGAGAGTTTCAACCCTGCTGCCAAAGAGGGTCTGTAATTGATGCCTTCTCCTGTGATGATCGGCCCTATTCTCTCCAAAATTTGATCAAAGAGCTCAACAGGCATCCTCATGTAGTTCCAGAACTGAGATGGATTCTCCTGCTTCAACCTCTGAACAAGGTGGTACTGACAGTGCTCTTGTCTCTGCATAGGTGTGAGCCAGTTTCGACCCAAACCTCACGTCTTCGCCTTCTTCCTCTTATTCTGTTACGTTCTCTGATTAATGCCAACTTGCAGGGCAAGGGCAAATGCCATGCAAATTCTATGTATGTTGTCACTGTGCTGGTCAGGCAAAGAATGACGAGATCCATTAACGAGAACCCACCCATTAACGATGCATTCCCACTGGAAAATTTGCAGGTTTGATTTACCAAAATTGGCAACTTGGGATAGTTACATTTCCCCCTCACCCCCCCCCAACACACCCCCTTTACTATTACTACGATGCTTCATTTTGTCTGTTAATATTCTTAGAGGCATATTTAAGAGTGTGCTTAACTCAATCTTTGTCCTCTGTGTGCACATGCATCACTTGCTGATCATGCATGGTGTTAGGTTTCATTATGATTGGGTGTCATGTTTAGATGCAGTTCAAGTGTAGACTTCAACGATATATACATTCAAATTATTGAGTCCCTCTTTTTTCGTTGATAGAATATATTTGTAAGTTTAGTAAGTTGAGCGGTTTTGGTATCTGATCTATTTTGAGATTCACTCCAGATGGTTTGTTAGTGTGCATTGTGCTTTACAAGTTTACTGTCCACAGGTCAGCTAAACAAAATGGGCATGCTAACTCCAAGTCTGCTGAGAACAAAACCAGAAATGGCAAGACAAGCCCATCACCCAAAAGAAATCGAAGCAAGTCTTTGAGCTACTCTCCTGCTGATCGACGACGGGGAAAGTCGTCCCCATACAAAACAAAATCTGGCAAAGAATTATCAAGAGGTCGGTCTCCAAAGCACGGAGAGAAGAAAAGACAGTCCAGCCGAGGGGCTTCCCGGTCTACATCCAGGTCACCTTCAAAGCAGAAGAAAAGGTCACCAGTGAAGAGGTCAAGGCGAAGTTCAAGGTCACCTACCCATTCACGGTCACGGTCGAGATCAAGATCCTACTCCAGATCCAGAAGTCGTTCCAGAAAGAGGTATGACAAAGTTGACAATATTTGGTTAAAGAATATTTATGAATTATCTTGGATGTGATTGTCAACTAATGCCTCTATGTAAATTTTTAGAGTTGCAATGAGATCCAGATTTTACTTTCATCTTTTGTATTTTTAGTAACCTCTATGAACACCATTAGCTGTGTTGGGACGGTTTCTCTGATAGTTTTGGCTTTGTTAGAAATGGTGGTTATGTTGGTTTGTTGGCTCTCTGAAGATAATTTTCCTAACTTTACGACTCTTGAGATAGCTCTTTCCCAGTGTTGTCACTCCAAGACTGTCAGATGCTGGGACTGTGGAATTCTTGGTAGTATACCCACATAGGTCCCCTTTCAGCTGTCATCTGGGATGACACAACCACTAGTTGCTCTACCCTTTTGTTTCATAGGTAGATTTGGCTCCCAGGGTATGAAATACCAACTGTGTATATCCCAGCCAGTGGCCCTTGTCATTGAATGATGATAAATGTCCTTAAACGTCAATAAATGTAAATAAATGTCACTGCTGAATACAGGGAAAGGAGCTACTCCCGTTCTCGATCTCACAGTCGAAGACGGTCATACAGTCGCAGCCTGAGCCATGATTCGAGGCGCAGGGAATCACGCAGCCCCTCGATTCGGAGAAGGAAAGGGTCACCAAGTCACTTAGATAAACGCAGGATAACAAGGTGGGGATCGTCCAGAAACATCTGGTGTAGCAAAGAGAAATAATGAAGAATTTCTATTACACAAGTGCATTTTTGTTGTACTTTTATTCATTTTTCTAGCACCTTTCACCATGTGTGGTAGGAATGCCAGCTCTTTCCACTACAGTGATGTGTATTTCAGTGTTGTGCCAGGCGGGAACTGTAACATATCTGTGTCAGTACTTGCACCACTGTGTTTCTTTCTATTTTACTTTCATTTGATTTTGTATAAAATTACACTATCTTCTTTTTGGTGTTGTATTCCTTTGTCTCAGCATGTTGTGTTTTTTTCGGCCTTCTTTTATTTTTGTTTTTGTTTTTCTTGCTGTTGGGTGTCTAGGTCAGGATCCAGAGAGCGAAAGTACGATGACCGTCATGGATCCCGGTCTCGATCGTACAACCGTCGACGCTCCCCTTCTCCATATTATCGTTCCAGTAAACGTCCACGAGACCGATACTAAGACTGAAGCAGCTTCAAGCCACAACATGGTATTCATTGTGTTCCAGTTGGCTTGCAGATACAACTAATACCTTAAACAGCCTACTAATCACTGACTGTCTGACTGACAGTGTTCATGACAAGATATGTCTGGTGTAGGATCAGGCAGTTGGAAATGAACCCTCACTTTAGAATTAGTTTAGTAGTTCCTTAATTCTGGAATTGTGCATGGCTTGGTTTGTGATGGTTACACTGACAGCTTGGAAACAGAATGTGGCAGTGGACTTAATGATGGTTTACCTGAGAACTGAGACCTTGGGTATTTCTTTAGCCTAGTCTGTTTCACTAAAGCTGGTTAGCAATACTGTTTGTGCTCAAAACACTAACACTGACTTTATAGTTTACATACAACAAAACTTAAGGCATCATTCAGGATGATTAAGAAAATGTTCCCTTTGAAGTTTGGATTTGTATCAACTTATCAAAGAACACTCTTGTGAGATTCACTATGTATTCAGATTAAATGTTAGACAATTCATACTAACATGTTTGCATTGGTTAGATACACCACTAACTTTTGATTAAATGCAGTTTAACACATTGAGTGTGTGAGTGAATGCAGTTTAACACATTGAGTGTGTGAGTGAATGCAGTTTAACACATTGAGTGTGAGAGTGAATGCAGTTTAACACATTGAGTGTGAGTGAATGCAGTTTAACACATTGAGTGTGAGTGAATGCAGTTTAACACATCGAGTGTGTTCATGAATGCAGTTGAACACATTGAGTGTGTTCATGAATGCAGTTGAACACATTGAGTGTGTTCATGAATGCAGTTGAACACATTGAGTGTGTTCATGAATGCAGTTTAACACATCGAGTGTGAGTGAATGCAGTTTAACACATTGAGTGTGTGAGTGAATGCAGTTGAACACATTGAGTGTGTTCATGAATGCAGTTTAACACATTGAGTGTGTTCATGAATGCAGTTGAACACATTGAGTGTGTTCATGAATGCAGTTGAACACATTGAGTGTGTGAGTGAATGCAGTTGAACACATCGAGTGTGTGAGTGAATGCAGTTTAACACATTGAGTGTGTGAGTGAATGCAGTTGAACACATTGAGTGTGTGAGTGAATGCAGTTGAACACATTGAGTGTGTGAGTGAATGCAGTTTAACACATTGAGTGTGTTCATGAATGCAGTTGAACACATCGAGTGTGTGAGTGAATGCAGTTGAACACATTGAGTGTGTTCATGAATGCAGTTGAACACATTGAGTGTGTTCATGAATGCAGTTGAACACATTGAGTGTGTGAGTGAATGCAGTTGAACACATTGAGTGTGCTCATGAATGCAGTTTAACACATTGAGTGTGTGAGTGAATGCAGTTGAACACATCGAGTGTGTGAGTGAATGCAGTTTAACACATTGAGTGTGTTCATGAATGCAGTTGAACACATTGAGTGTGTGAGTGAATGCAGTTGAACACATTGAGTGTGTTCATGAATGCAGTTGAACACATTGAGTGTGTTCATGAATGCAGTTGAACACATTGAGTGTGTGAGTGAATGCAGTTGAACACATTGAGTGTGCTCATGAATGCAGTTTAACACATTGAGTGTGTGAGTGAATGCAGTTGAACACATCGAGTGTGTGAGTGAATGCAGTTTAACACATTGAGTGTGTTCATGAATGCAGTTGAACACATCGAGTGTGTTCATGAATGCAGTTGAACACATTGAGTGTGTTCATGAATGCAGTTGAACACATTGAGTGTGTGAGTGAATGCAGTTTAACACATTGAGTGTGTTCATGAATGCAGTTGAACACATCGAGTGTGTGAGTGAATGCAGTTGAACACATTGAGTGTGTTCATGAATGCAGTTGAACACATTGAGTGTGTTCATGAATGCAGTTGAACACATTGAGTGTGTGAGTGAATGCAGTTGAACACATTGAGTGTGTTCATGAATGCAGTTGAACACATCGAGTGTGTGAGTGAATGCAGTTGAACACAGCTCAGGAAGCGCTTTGAAAGCTTTTGACACACATGCAGTTGAACACATTGAGTGGTGAACACATTGAGTGTGTGAGTGAATGCAGTTTAACACATTATCAGTGAATGGAACACCTATTATTATTATTATTTAACACATTGAGTGTGTGAATGCAGTTGAACACATTGAGTGTGTTCATGAATGCAGTTGAACACATTGAGTGTGTGAGTGAATGCAGTTTAACACATTGAGTGTGTGAGTGAATGCAGTTGAACACATCGAGTGTGTGAGTGAATGCAGTTGAACACATTGAGTGTGTTCATGAATGCAGTTGAACACATTGAGTGTGTTCATGAATGCAGTTGAACACATTGAGTGTGTGAGTGAATGAATGCAGTTGGACACATTGAGTGTGTGAACACATTGAGTGTGAGTGAATGCAGTTGAACACATCGAGTGTGTGAGTGAATGCAGTTTAACACATTGAGTGTGAGTGAATGCAGTTGAACACATTGAGTGTGTTCATGAATGCAGTTTAACACATTGAGTGTGTGTGCAGTGAATGCAGTGAATGCAGTTGAACACATTGAGTGTGTGAGTGAATGCAGTTTGACACATTGAGTGTGTGAGTGAATGCAGTTGAACACATTGAGTGTGTTCATGAATGCAGTTTAACACATTGAGTGTGTGAGTGAATGCACATTGAGTGTGTGAGTGAATGCAGTTTAACACATTGAAGTGAATGCAGTTGAACACATTGAGTGTGTGAGTGAATGCAGTTGAACACATTGAGTGTGTGAGTGAATGCAGTTTAACACATTGAGTGTGAGTGAATGCAGTTGAACACATTGAGTGTGTTCATGAATGCAGTTTAACACATTGAGTGTGTTCATGAATGCAGTTTAACACATTGAGTGTGAGTGAATGCAGTTTAACACATGGAGTGAGTGTGAGTGAATGCAGTTTAACATTGAGTGTGATGAATGTGAGTGTGTTCATGAATGCAGTTGAACACATTGAGTGTGTTCATGAATGCAGTTTAACACATTGAGTGTGTGAGTGAATGCAGTTTAACACATTGAGTGTGTTCATGAATGCAGTTGAACACATTGAGTGTGTTCATGAATGCAGTTTAACACATTGAGTGTGTTCATGAATGCAGTTGAACACATTGAGTGTGTTCATTGAATGAATGCAGTTTAACACATCGAAAGTGTGTTCATGAATGCAGTTTCATGAATGCAACACATTGAGTGTGTTCATGAATGCAGTTTAACACATTGAGTGTGTTCATGAATGCAGTTGAACACATTGAGTGTGTGCATGAATGCAGTTGAACACATTGAGTGTGTGCATGAATGCAGTTTAACATGGTAGTCATTCAAGTGCTTGAAGACGGTATAAGAAGCTGTACCGAAACGTGAACGCTATTGTGAATATAAAGAAGTTGATCATTCATAAAGTTTGTCCTCCCAACACTCCCCCACTTGTATTACATCAGCCTGTAAATAGTCAAGTTGAGCAGAACCTGGGAGTAGAAACAATAAAGCTCCAGTGGCATGATGTGTTGTAGCTGAATCTGGGGACCCTGAACACTTTATCTGGAGGATGACATGTTGTAGCTGAATCTGGGGACCCTGAACACTTTATCTGGAGGATGACATATTTTCATGCTTGATTATGTAGACTGTTGACTGTTGTACACCAGGTTGTCCCCAAGATTATGTGGGATTCACTACCCCTTCTCCTTGGGTGTTGAACAAGACGTCTGAGGGCGATCCCTGTATTTACAACAGTTCTGTTATTATTGCTGAACTAACAGAGTCTGAGCATCTTGTTTTGCATGTTGCATGCTGTTATTTTGCTGTTTGATGTTATTTTGCTGGTATATTTAGTGTCTTAATTTTAACAGTCGGACTTGTCTGTTGCTAAGGATAATAATGCTGACAATCACTGGTTTGTCTGGTACAGATTTGGATGTTTACAGACAGATGCCCTTTAGCTGGGATATTGTGATTGGTATTTAACGACCCAGACTTGATGGCTGTTATACAACTGTAACTTGTAATCTAACCAGCTCAAATGTAATTAACAACTGTGGCATGCCCAGGGCCTGAATGACCTGATGCTTCAACTTTCATGTGAGCAAAATGAAAAGGTTGCAACAGCCCATTGTGAACTTGTGTAGTTTCACATCACATGACACGTAGTATCTCAAACACTGATTTCACTTAATGAAGTCAAGTTTTTTTATAGTGATGTTTTTCTTCAATGGATTCCTATCAACGTCATGAAAACAGGGAGATTTGTTTCCTCGGGAGTATGAGTAAAATTGTCACCATAAATATTGATATGTAAAGGTTACAAATTATATATTACAGTAGCTACTGACTTGTCCATGACATACATACTGAAAGGGAAGGTTAAGTGTAAGATTACTGTCAGTGTGTAACAAATAATTTGTCTTTCTTTTACAGTGCAAGAAAACGACCAGTCCCCTATTACAGACCCTCTCCCCCCTCACCAAGCTCTGACGACAGCTATAGGTCATACTCTAGGTCAAGGTCAAGGTCGCGTTTCCGGAGTCGTAGTCTGAGTTTAACAAAGCGCTACACTCGGCGGGGGCGGCGGCGGCGTAGCTGGAGCAGCAGTAGTCTTGATAGTCTAAAACACTGAGAAATATCACAAGTTGTACACATCGGCTTTCTTCTCACATCCCAAACTTTCGTTCCAAAATGTCAAATGCCTACCTTAGCTCTGAAAGAAGGGTCTAGGCATCTTTATGAATGAATAAAGAACAAACAAGGTCCTGTAACAGCTAGAGGAATGTCTGTCTGTGATTCCTCCTTGCTCGGCCATGCCCTCAGTGTATAAGTGTAACTTGTGATATTTCTTGGCTGACCCAACTTTGTATGGTGCAATAAATACCAGTGCCCAAGCAGCAGGGGTTCCTGTAGTGTGGACATGCCCACATGTTTGAAGGTGCCGAATATGTCTTGACACTGTACATACCATTTCTAGTACGCTGGAGTGCAAAGCAGTTTGACTGAAGACAAGCTAGCTTCTCCAGGAGGCATGTTGGGTCGTCCAGTGGCAGTGCTGGAGGGAGGAGACTTGATGACGATTATGTGAATAGTTTAACATATCAGATTTAAGTTATTGTATTGACTGGTCTTTCATTTTACATGTGTTTATTTATATGCTATTTATTGCACATGTTGTGGCTTTTGCAACAGTTGTTTTATTTTCAGTTTTACAAAGATGTTTGTTTTATGACAACTGCGGTGGACCAATTAGAGTGCTCTCCCCTTGATTAGGGTCTGCTGGAATTAAATGAAATGTAACAAATAATGTTTAGGTGTAGGGTAAGACTGTTAGTATAAGTAGCATACCATGTTTTGTTTGCGGGTTTCCTATCTGCCAGTGAATCAAGGGGAAGTAACTCATTGATGACTGTAAACCTCTGTGTACGTGTGATTAGTATTCCCTACGAGATGCTGCCAGTCATCACATATCCAAATATAAACTTGACTTTTATTGCTCAAGGTTTTCATTTAACTTATGTTTGAGTTAAGCCAAAGAAAAAGTTAGAAGTAACTGAAACTTTCATTCCAAGGATTGGCATTCCCTTCATCATACAGAAATGGTCAACATTAGAAAGCCACCCCTCATGGTGTCTGGCAGCGTCTTGACCATGTTGTCATGGTGACACATTAATGGCTACTGCCTCACTGCAGGCTGACTTATGTAAATATGCAGAGACTGAAATAAGTACTAATGTCCATCAACATACTGACATGTGGAACAGAGGCAGTCTGTGATCATTGTCCACAACAGCAGTATTAAGGCATTTGTACATTGTATGAGAGGAAATCATCTGTATGTTGTCAAGTTTGTTTTATGGAAACATGGAACTGGCTCATTTTAACCGTGATATACATGAGATTATGAAGTGGGTTTAAAGAGCATGAACTGTTAACTCTTTGCAACCTGTGTCTGAACAGTTGAAAATCCTATTGCCATTTTGTTTTTCAAACAAGGACAATGGTTAATATGTGAATGAACTTGTTTTAGTGTAGAATCATGTAGGAAATGTTTTAAATGGATAGATTTAATAAACATGTTTGTGTGGGGCTTTGTAAGATATTGATGACCTGAACTATCCTGCCCTGATGCTGGAGTTGATATTGCCATGGCAAGCTTCCATCTGTATAGAAATGTCCAATCAATACACAAACATTATTATGTTGTGTATTGTCACTTGTGCTGAAGCTCATTTCCTGGCACCATTGATATTAACTGCAGTAGGCCGCAATGTTGTCAGCTAACAAGGCTGATGGATGTCATTCGATTAGCCACAATGTCAGCTAACAAGGATGATGGTTGTCATTCGGTTAGCCACAATGTCTTTTCATAGCAGCAAAGAATTAACGCTTTAAGAATTAGAGAAAGATCTGGAGACTCGTGTGAAGGTTCAGATGATGAACACCGTGTACCATGTGAAGGTTCAGATGATGTACATCGTGTACCATGTGAAGGTTCAGATGATGTACACTGTGTACCATGTGAAGGTTCAGATGATGTACACTGTGTACCATGTGAAGGTTCAGGTGATGTACACTGTGTACCATGTGAAGGTTCAGGTGATGTACACTGTGTACCGTGTGAAGGTTCAGGTGATGTACACTGTGTACCGTGTGAAGGTTCAGGTGATGTACACTGTGTACCGTGTGAAGGTTCAGGTGATGTACACTGTGTACCATGTGAAGGTTCAGGTGATGTACACTGTGTACCACGTGTGAAGGTTCAGGTGATGTACACTGTGTACCATGTGAAGGTTCAGGTGATGTACACTGTGTACCGTGTGAAGGTTCAGGTGATGTACGCAGGTGAAGGTTCAGGTGATGTACACTGTGTACCGTGTGAAGGTTCAGGTGATGTACAAAATCGTGAACTGATGTACACTCCGTGTGAAGGTTCAGGTGATGTACACTGTGTACCATGTGAAGGTTCAGGTGATGTACACTGTGTACCATGTGAAGGTTCAGGTGATGTACACTGTGTACCGTGTGAAGGTTCAGGTGATGTACACTGTGTACCATGTGAAGGTTCAGGTGATGTACACCGTGTACCGTGTGAAGGTTCAGGTGATGTACACTGTGTACCATGTGAAGGTTCAGGTGATGTACACTGTGTACCACCGTGTGAAGGTTCAGGTGATGTACACTGTGTACCATGTGAAGGTTCAGGTGATGTACACTGTGTACCATGTGAAGGTTCAGGTGATGTACACTGTGTACCATGTGAAGGTTCAGGTGATGTACACTGTGTACCGTGTGAAGGTTCAGGTGATGTACACTGTGTACCATGTGAAGGTTCAGGTGATGTACACTGTGTACCGTGTGAAGGTTCAGGTGATGTACACTGTGTACCATGTGAAGGTTCAGGTGATGTACACTGTGTACCGTGTGAAGGTTCAGGTGATGTACACTGTGTACCATGTGAAGGTTCAGGTGATGTACACGGTGTACCATGTGAAGGTTCAGGTGATGTACACTGTGTACCGTGTGAAGGTTCAGGTGATGTACACTGTGTACCGTGTGAAGGGTCAGGTGATGTAGATTTTGTATGTATGGTGATGCTCAGGTGATGTATCAAGTGATGCCATTGAAGAAATTAGACTGATGTTTTTATCATTGTACATGTGTAATTTATGTTGACTTCATCTCAGGTTCCCTAAACCAACCATTGTCAGTAGGTGCAAATCATTACCAACTTGTCGAGTTTTTTATAGAAGATGTACTCTCTTACAGCTGGTGTACTCTCTCACTCTCTTACAGCTGGTGTACTCTCTCACAGCTGGTGTACTCTCAAAGAGGATGTACTCTCACAGGGCTGTTCTCTCTTACAGCTGGTGTACTCTTATAGAGGGTGTACTCTCACAGCTGATGTGCTCTTAAAAGAGGGTGTACTGTCTTACAGCTGGTGTACTCTTAAAGAGGGTGTTTTCTCTCAGAGCTGGTGTACTCTCTTATAGAGGGTGTACTGTCTCACAGGGTGTACTCCCACAGTGGTCCAATCACACGGTCAGTGACACCAATACTGATGATTGATAGACGTCCCATGTAGGTCCTCAGATTTTTCACTTCTTAAATTTCAACATGAAACTTAAACCCAGAATATTTTGTTTACAATAATCTTTCAACATCAGCTTGTTAATTTTTCTGGATGATATGTATGATACAGTGACCTCTGTTTGTAACACATGCCATATCACAATGTCCCAATGTTATTAGAGTGTACAGAACTCATCCTGCACTGTGTATAGCCATGCCACGCTCATGTACGTCTCATTTGTACAATAAAACATTGAACATGGTGTGTGTAGTTCTGTCTTCTGTACACTACTCATGTAGGGTGTTATAATATCAACAGTATTCCACTTATCACCTCCATGTCAAGGCCTAATAAAACTTGGATGCCTTTTCAGTTGACATCAGTAAACCACAGGCAAACTCTAGCGCAAATAGGGTTTCACAACAAAGAGAAAATGACCAGTCATCCTATATGCGAGCAAAGCTAGCAAAGTTTTGCAACGTACTTCCCTCACTTCAGTTCGAAAAATATTTTTAATATCAAAATAAAAAATCGCCACCATCAAAGGTACACACCCATTTCCTCGCAGGGTTGTTCTCTCAGATTTCTAACCTCATATTTAATAATTACTCACGTAAAACATTTAATTTAACATTTTAAGCGCCACTCATGCCATATCAAATCGTTCTTCGCCTCCATTACCCCTGCCAGCTTCTGGTTCAACAGAAAAATATTTTTCGAACCGAAACGAGGGAAGTACGTTGCCAACCTTTGCTTGCTTCGTTCGCATATGGGAAGACTGGGTATTTTCTCTTTGTTGCGTAATCCTATTTGCGCTACAGTTTGCCTGTGGGTAAACAAAAGTATAGTATACACGGAAACATTTATTTAGCACCATCAGAATCACTTCTTTGAGTGGCATTTTAGAAGTTGGAATTACAATATTGTACAAATTTTATGGATAACAACTTCTATTTCGTGAGTGCGCCGTTTCAATACAGATTCTTGTACCGTTGTCAAGCAGAAATGTAACATGAAGAGAAGGGAATGTATATATACTGAATGTAACAAAGAAAACAACATCATTAATTAAAAGAAGTCTCTATCAGTAATGGTTGCGTTTCATATGACTACGTTGGATATCAATGATCCACATTATCAACAGGAAGTACTGGACACCAGTATTGTGCTAGATTTTGATAACCGTCCCTTGCAATATCCATGGATGACAATGCTAGGCCACATCATTCTCGAGCAGAAGGCCATCGAAACAATACCATGGCGTGCAAGATGCCTCAAATGAACCCCTGAGAATATCTTTGGGACTGTCATGGATGCCAAGTGTGAACAACAGATCCTGCTGTTCAAAATCTGGAAGAATAGGGCACTTGATTGCCAGTGTGGCCAGGCCATTGGCAGATGGCTGCAAGGGATGGCTACTATAGGTACTGATGTAGCTGTTCATACAATTACAACAATCATTATTTGATATCTGTCTCAATCAGCTCGGTGGGGTGGTTGTGATCATACTTTCCAGTGTTGTTCATATTCAAATATTCAAGTTTTTGTTCATTCCTCTTAGATTGTAAGTAATTGTCACCAAATTTCAATTTCAGTTTTGTTTTGATCAAAGTAGAATATGTTGCAGATACCATTATGATACATGGAAGTGAGTTTTCACAGCAGCATTAAGTGTTTTCGTACTTATATGAAGAAAGTGGGTGGTGCTTGATATATGAAGAAAGTGGGTACTTATATGAAGAAAGTGGGTGGTGCTTGATAAACGCTTATGTAGACTGCTCCAGACAAACTGACCGGTGCATAGGTCTTCCATTCAGGGTTATATTCGATTGAATCAAGATCTATCCTTACTCAAAGGCATGTTTGATGTGTAACTATGTCTAACACAAAATGTATCTTCAGCCTTTCACAGCAGCTTCCAGGTCAATCATCATAAGTGTCCTGAGTACAGGATCTGGACACTATACTGTCCACACAGAAAGTCCATGTATCTAGACACTATACTGTCCACAGGGAAAGTCAATTGATCTAGACACTATACTGTCCACACAGAATGTCCATGTATCTAGACACTATACTGTCCACAGGGAAAGTCCATGTATCTAGACACTATACTGTCCACAGAGAAAGTCCATGTATCTAGACACTATACTGTCCACACAGAAAGTCCATGTATCTGGACACTATACTGTCCACACAGAAAGTCCATGTATCTGGACACTATACTGTCCACACAGAAAGTCCATGTATCTAGACGCTATACTGTCCACAGGGAAAGTCAATTGATCTAGACACTATACTGTCCACATAGAAAGTCCATGTATCTAGACACTATACTGTCCACAGGGAAAGTCCATGTATCTAGACACTATACTGTCCACACAGAAAGTCCATGTATCTAGACACTATACTGTCCACACAGAAGTCCATGTATCTAGACACTATACTGTCCACACAGAAAGTCCATGTATCTAGAAACTATACTGTCCACACAGAAAGTCCATGTATCTAGACACTATACTGTCCACACAGAAAGTCCATGTATCTAGAAACTATACTGTCCACACAGAAAGTCCATGTATCTAGACACTATACTGTCCACACAGAAAGTCCATGTACCTAGACACTATACTGTCCACAGAGAAAGTCCATGTATCTAGACACTATACTGTGTGTATCTAGACACTATACTGTCCACAGAAGTCCATGTATCTAGACGTTAACTATACTCACTCACTCACTCCACACAGAAAGTCCATGTATCTAGAAACTATACTGTCCACACAGAAAGTCCATGTATCTAGACACTATACTGTCCACACAGAAAGTCCATGTATCTAGACACTATACTGTCCACACAGAAAGTCCATGTATCTAGAAACTATACTGTCCACACAGAAAGTCCATGTATCTAGACACTATACTGTCCACACAGAAAGTCCATGTACCTAGACACTATACTGTCCGCAGAGAAAATCCATGTATCTAGACACTATACTGTCCACACAGAAAGTCCATGAATCTCGACACTATACTGTCCACACAGAAAGTCCATGTATCTAGACACTATACTGTCCACACAGAAAGTCCATGTATCTAGACACTATACTGTCCACACAGAAAGTCCATGTATCTAGTAACTATACTATCCACACAGAAAGTCCATGTATCTAGACACTATACTGTCCACAGAGAAAGTCCATGTATCTAGACACTATACTGTCCACAGAGAAAGTCCAATGTGTCTGGACACTATAATGTCCACACAGAAAGTCCGTGTATCTGGACACTATACTGTCTACACAGAAAAAGTCCATGTATCTGGACACTATACTGTGACACATTATGGCAGTGATTACGGGAGGTAAAGTGTCGAGATGGTCCACTACAAGGTGACATGGAACTGGATCACTCAGACACATTATGTCAGTGATTACTGGAGGTAAATTGTCGAGATGGTCCACTACAAGGTGACATTGAACTGGATCACTCAGACACACTATGTCAGTGATTACAGGGAGTAAAGTGTCGAGGTGGTCCACTACAAGGTGACATGGAACTGGATCGATCAGACACATTATGGCAGTGATTACTGGAGGTAAAGTGTCGAGATGGTCCACTACAAGGTGACATGGAACTGGATGACTCAGCCACATTATGGCAGTGATTACTGGAGGTAAAGTGTCGAGATGGTCAACTACAAGGTGACATGGAACTGGATCACTCAGCCACATTATGTCAGTGATTACTGGAGGTAAAGTGTCGAGATGGTTCACTACAAGGTGACATTGAATTGGATCACTCAGACACATTATGTAAGTGATGACTGGAGGTAAAGTGTCGAGATGGTTCACTACAAGGTGACATGGAACTGGATGACTCAGCCACATTATGGCAGTGATTACTGGAGGTAAAGTGTCGAGATGGTCCACTACAAGGTGACATGGAACTGGATGACTCAGCCACATTATGGCAGTGATTACTGGAGGTAAAGTGTCGAGATGGTCCACTACAAGGTGACATGGAACTGGATCACTCCGCCACATTATGGCAGTGATTACTGGAGGTAAAGTGTCGAGATGGTCCACTACAAGGTGACATGGAACTGGATCACTCCGCCACATTATGGCAGTGATTACTGGAGGTAAAGTGTCGAGATGGTCCACTACAAGGTGACATGGAACTGGATCACTCCGCCACATTATGGCAGTGATTACTGGAGGTAAAGTGTCGAGATGGTCCACTACAAGGTGACATGGAACTGGATGACTCAGCCACATTATGTCAGTGATTACTGGAGGTAAAGTGTCGAGATGGTCCACTACAATGTCCTGGAGACAGTCCTTGCCGCCATGTTCTGTATCCTCTGTAGTCTGGAGAACTGTTGCTGTGAGATGTTAACCAACAGACTATTACAGGAGTCCAGTTTTGATAGGACTAAGCTTCTGACCAGCATGTGAGTGGCATTAGTGGTCAGGAGATGTCTGATACTGCCAATATTTCTCAAGTGAAAATGGCATGCTTTGCAGATCATGCTAACATGATGCTCCATTGACAGATCACAGTCGAGAAGGACGCCCAGTTTCCTGACACAGTCTGATACCTGGACATGAGAATCTCCAACACATATTGTTGATATATTTGCTGTCTTCCTGTTCCTACAAGTCCCGACTAACATGGCTTCTGTTTTATCAGTGTTGAGTTTCAGCATGTTAACCTTCATCCAACACTGTATCTTGCTTGTGCAAATCTTAATCTGATCTGACTGAGAATCCTTTGGAAAGAATGCTTTCATCAACTGAGTATCATCAGCGTAACTGTGATGGCCCACATTCATGATAGAGATTAGATTTCCAAGGACAGACGTGTATAACGTGAATAAAATAGGCCCAAGGACAGATCTTTGCGGCACTCCAAACTTGAGAAGTGACTTACTTGAGCTCGCATTCTGGACAACAACAGCTTCGTATCGGTTGGATAGGTATGATGTAAACCATTGCAGGGCTACTCCATCAATCCCAATCACTTGATTCAGAGTATCAATTAGCTTCTCATGATCTATCGTGTCAAAGGCCGCAGACAGATCTAACAGCACAATTAATCCTACTTGCCCGTTGTCACATGATATAGTCAAGTCACTTACTGTAAAACACGCAGCAGGGCCGTTTCGGTGCTGTATCCTGTTCTGTAAGCTGACTGAAACTTATCAAGTAAAGCATGGTCCGAAAGGTGCGATGTAAGCCTTTTCTTCACAGCCCTCTC